TTTTTTTTTTTTTTTTTTTTCTTCTTTTTTTTAATCGTACTACAAAAAATAATGTAATACTGGTTTCTCTTTTATTTTATGTAACAAAACCAAATTTAGTTAAAGCTAATCTATACGCTATCAACTCCTTAAATTTAAAAGTGATTAAAGTTCGAATTTTTCAGGTTTTAAGATTTCTCTGGATTTTTTCATTAATATATTTTATAAACGTTTTATACGATTAATATCTGTAATCTGTTAACCGTTGCAAGAAATGTTTAATCCAATAAATAAAGATAAAGCGGCTTTTACTTAGTTATTATTTGTTGTCCAGTATTTGCAATGGTCTTTATATATATATTTATTTATTTTAATTAAGTTATTGTTTGTTGAATTTCCTATTTCGGAGTTCATCGAACGAATCTCGTTTTTGTTTGTTTTTCAGAAGCAGGCCAGTATGCTCATTACGTGTTCAAGGCTTTCGACCAGGACCATAATGGTACAATTAGCTTTCAGGTTAATACCAATTGTTTTTATTTTGATCTGATATAACCTGTTAAAGTACATCTTTTACAGTCATGGATCAGAAAGAATCATTGCTTACATAAGTTAAAAGTAAAAAATAACTGTCCGCAGTACCGGATCCACGCAGGGTATTTAGCTAAACTTTTCACCAAAAAAAGGATATTTTTTATAAAATACGATTATCTAAATTAATTCAAAATGCTCCAACTTAATCACATAATCAATAAACATAAAACTACAAATATTATTTGTGTCTGCAGATTCGTTGTTGCCACACTCAGTCAAAATATAAATCTCTATTATAAGGATTTTTGGTGAAGGCGTAAAATAAAGTCACCTCTGCATGAATGTAAACAAAAAACACAATTAGATTTTAAATGGTTCCTTGTTGGACATGGACCCAGTTGATAATCCTACTATAGTTGTCTTCCTATTTTAAACTTAATTATACATTTTTACAGAGAAATTCAAGGAAAATGATTTTATAAACAAATTAAAATTCCGTTGGAAAAGTGCTCTTTGACGAAAAACAAAGTATACTAGGCAGTTATATTCATGCAATTAATAACCAATAACCTTTTTCTATACTACTGATGTCCCTGTTTAATACAGTGGCCTTAAGTAATAAGTAGACAAGCGACTGCTTGGTTCTTCGCGTTCTTCCAGAAATAAAATATATATATATCGTTTACGTTGTTACCGCAATTGTTTAATCCTTTGAAATAATCGTTAGACAATAAATCTGAGTAATTCATTTGTGAGCGACTATTTCCCTTTAGCACGTTTGCCATTAGTAAACTGTGATCTGATTACTCTGCTGCTTGGGGTCTCACACTTGCCAAGATCGGCCTACATGTTTTGATTAATGTACTTCATTAAAATTATTTTAAACGCGTGATAATTCTATTTTAGACAAAATAAAACATTTCCATTATCCTGTTGTGTGTATTTAACGTTATCAATATATATTCTTGTCATTACATTCAATTTAGTTTGGAAGTGTTTATTAAAATTGTCTTTATAGTGCGCCATCTGCACTTTTATAAATTAAATCAGTAGTGAAATTATTGATACAACGGCTTTATGAATTCTCTAGCGTCTAATACATTTGAATAAAATGCGACAGCTGCCTAAATTCTTAATTCTGAAATGGTGCCAGAGAATGTTCAGACTAAGGTGTCTCTTTCCACTACCCTTAGTTCCTATAACATTAATTATCATATTCTGCTTCTTAACACTTCATGTATCAAACTCCATCGTAAAAGACTTTGTGACATGTCAAAGTTTCATTAATCTAATTATTTTATGATTTCTTAATTAGTTTGCACTAACGCACAAGATATTGGAAATAAACCAGGAGCTGTTTGTATGATGTGGTTATAGATAGAAATCTAAACTTGCTTTACTAACGTAACTATTTTAAAAGTTAATAGCTTAATTTCACACATAATTTTTATTGCTGTTGGTTAATTAATAAAATATCACTTTCTAAAGATTGATGTAGAATACTTCTTTTCTTAACTGTACCTATCTCTTAAAATGAACACTTTTGGAATACTTGTAGCTAACTTGTTTTGTTAAATATACTCAATAGATAATCTAGCTACAAAGCAGTAACCAAACGACAGGGGAAAAGTAATAGATGAAAATATAAATCCTCTGAGTGGATAATTTATACATTTTAAATACTTTATTTGAATTTCAGGTGTAAAAGTTAAAATGTGAAAAATATAATATATATACAAATGGAATAAAGGGGTGTTATAAATTCATCTTTTGAAAAATGTTCCTATTAGAAAATAGCACGCGACATATATTCTCTCCTAGTTATTATGTACTTTTTTTTTTCAAGTGCTTTCAGACAGGCCTTTCAACACTAAACC